ATAGCCCATAACGGTTAACGAAAAGGGCATGCAGTCCCTCATCAAGAAGACGAGCAGGATCATGACTGGTTTGTTTTACATACATCTTCTAATATGTACTCTCGTACTTACCGAACTAGAAGGACCGTCCGTTATGTTTGGTCAAAATTATTTTGCTGGCAGACGGGCTTCCGGGTAAGGGGAGGGGGCGACGAAGATTGCTCCGCTCGTAGCGCCGCTATTCCGGGCGTGTGAAATGACATCGCATTTCCCCTCGACTCTCAAGCCTCTCCAAACACGATTGCCGATCATCGTAGACTCCGGCGGTGCCATATATCGCACAGAAAGCGATGTAAACGCCTGATTTCTCCACCGACTGTCCGCCATTTCCTCTAACGGTTTCTAAATGGGCGCCACTGTAGTACGCATGTGTACGCTACCTGGCCAATCAGCGCTAAGTCCCTGATGTACAGTGCCCGGATTATCCAGGCCTGGGATTTATCCATCTTGTGAATAATAAAAGGACTTTGCTGAAAAGTTGTCAACTTTCATGCTTTCATGTTTACAATATATATATTGACATATAGATGTATGTATGTAAGTAACATTACATGTATTTATGTAACGTTATGTATGTATGTATATATACATACAAAATACACACACACGCATATATATTATATATATATAACATACATAAAATTTATTTATGTGCATTATATATATATAATATATATAATAAGGCTTTATTCAGGGGCCTGCCCCTGTTTAAGGCTTTATTCAGGGGCGCGCCCCAGGTTTAAGGCTTTATTCAGGGGCCTGCCCCTGTTTAAGGCTTTATTCAGGGGCGCGCCCCAGGTTTAAGGCTTTATTCAGGGGCCTGCCCCTGTTTAAGGCTTTATTCAGGGGCGCGCCCCAGGTTTAAGGCTTTATTCAGGGGCCTGCCCCTGTTTGAGGCTTTATTCAGTGTAAGCCTTTAAACAAGGAAACAACTTTGAGAAGTTTATGCTTGATGAAAGGGTCAACTTTTATACATGTAGACAACCCTGTTTACTGTTATGTATTTTATTTCTTTGCATTCAGATAGTGAGATGAACATTTATCCACATTTACCCACATATACCAAAATTTACCTGGTAAATATGTGTTATATGCGGGTAAATATTGTACATCATATTTACCAGGGATTTACACATTTAGGGTAAATTTGGTAAATCCCACTTTTCGTGCAGTGACAACGGCAAAAACATTCAAATTCCCCAGTTATAACGTTGATGTTACTCTATAAACAGCATATAAAAGTCAGTAATATAAGCAAACTATCCTTCTACCTTTCCTATCCTAATAAAGGTATAACGTTAAATCGTAGGCAAGACCATCCTGAGGTAAACATATTGCATTTGCTTGCAAATGTTACCTTTCTAGTTGTGGATTGTTCCATGTATGACAGCGAAAGAAACGTTCTTTTCGATTTTGTGTCAAGCAAATACTCCCAAATTAAGTATTTAAATAGTAATACTATTCTCTATATTTCTCTATACTATTAGTATAAAGAAATTTATATTCCTTGTGGTCTTTAACAAACCAGCTCTAACTACTCATACAGCCAACTACATTTATAAGATTACCAGAAAGCGAGAGGAAGTTGAACGTACTTGTGTACTATAGCAGTTTTATTATCAACATAGATGATGTACTTTGTCAATATGTGACCTGCCTTTAGCCCAGTGGGGCAAAATGAACAATAAAGGTCTTCATTCATTCATTATTGCATGAATTGTCAAGCTGATGGTGACACCAAAACCAGAGCAGAACAAAACATGTCTGACAGCACGACGACTGGCGCCTTGCCACTTAGCACCCACCACATGGCAGACAATCCTAACAATGATGCAAATCAGGGAGTGTCCATGACAAAAGAACAGCAATCAACAGACTCTCGTGAAAAGTTGGTCACACTTGAAAAAGCCATGTTGAGTCTGGAAGAAGGCCTTGCCTGTGTAAAGGCACAATCCAATAGTTTCGAGGTAAATGTGGCAACGCAACTGGATACTATTATGAAGAAGATGGAGACAAAGGCCAGTTCAGCCGGAAGCGACACTGAGATAAACAAGCTGAGAGAAGAGAATGGCAAACTTAGAAGCAGAGTGAAACAGCTAGAGGAACTAGTTTCTTCTCTACAGGCAGTGTCTACAAACATTCAGAAGGACGTGAGCGACATCAAACTTAGCCATGGTACACTCAAGGTCAAAGTCGCGAACATTAAAGAATCCATCCAAAGCGGCGCCATGACGAAAGATCACCCTACTCCGAAGCAACCCGCCGTGATGGATTATTCCATCATCACCAATAACCGTTTTGAGGTGCTTGAAGATAGTTCCACAGAAACGGTCCCGAACGAAGATTTGGAAACCAATCCCAAGGAAGTCATACGGAACTTGATACAGAACACATCATCGCACAGTACCGCCCCTAAGTACACAACTCCACAGTCACCACTTCTACGAACTCTAACCAAGACCAAAAACGAGTAGTACTTATTTATTGGCGATTCTAACGCACAGAAACTGAAACCTGAACTCCTATGCCCAACAGCCAACATGCCTAGGCCTTACTGGTCTCCGACCCTTGACAGTTCTTTGACTTCCTTGGAGCAGCTGTCCCAGGAACAAAAGCCTGACACCCTGATCTTACACGTCGGTACCAACGACCTCATGGTAAAATCAAGGGAAACGATCATCCACGAATTTGATACAACAATAAGTACGGCACAATCATTGTTTCCCAGTGCAGAGGTTGTGATTTCCGCGGTCCCTCCCAGGAGAGCCTCCAACCGTCGCCCTCAAGTCAACGATGACGTCAGTGAAATAAACAAGCATCTAGAGAACATGTGCCAAGCAAACGATTCACTGACGTTTGTTAAGCACCCTCAACTCTGGGATAACAGCGACCACAACAACCGCCTGTTCGAGAACGACGGCTACCATCTGAATTGAGATGGCGTGAAGGTTCTGGCCTACAACATAAAAAGGCAGGCAACTAACTCGCTCGGCCTTCAACGTGAGAGGCGCAAGCAAACAAAACCTGCACGGCAGTCACCGAACTCCCCCAAGTACCGAGGCTTCACTCCAGGCTATCCTCGGCGGTACAATAACACCCCAAGGGATCGGAAGATGAACAGCGGGACAGAAGCAGGTGCTTACAATCCCAGTCAGAGAAACACCTACCGCTCCTCTGACACACCTGCTTCCAACCTCCCACCGCGTCCTAACCGCGGGTACGAGCAGCCGTCGCGTCCTAACCGCGGGTACGAGCAGCCGTCGCGTCCTAACCGCGGGTACGAGCAGCCGCCACGTCTTAACCGCGGGTACGAGCAGCCGCCACGTCTTAACCGCGGGTACGAGCAGCCGCCACGTCTTAACCGCGGGTACGAGCAGCCGCCACGTCTTAACCGCGGGTACGAGCAGCCGCCGATGAACCTGCCAAGTTCCCGTCCCCCGAGAGACCACCCGACCCGCCGCAGGATTCCAGCCCCCCACCCCCATGTCGTGGACCATGGAGTGGCCCTCCGTAATGGAGGCCTACGGAACCCCCTGGATGCAGTACGGCCCCCGCCCCTTCTGGTCACCCCCACCGTTCCCGCAACGCTTCGGAGACTGGCATACATCATTCGGACCCAGCGAGAGACTTCCCGGCTTTAAATAAATTATCATTATGTGCTTCCCTCATCGGACTGCAATATATAAGGGAAAAGTAACTTCAAACTGTAAATATTTTGGTTTATCTCTTGCATTTTGGAACATTCATGGACTGGGTAAGAAATTAGAGGATAGTGACTTTATGAAACAAATAGACGGATTCGACTTCTTCTCGCTCCTAGAAACGTGGCATACAGGTGAGGTACACTTTACAAATTATATTAATTTTACTAGTACTAGATCTAAAAGTAAAAAGGCCAAACGTAACTCTGGGGGGATTATATTCTTATTCAGAAAGCAATATAGAAATTTTGTAACTAAATTAGAGAGTAAATCGGAGGACATTCTCTGGGTGAAAATTGACAAAACGCTATTTAACATGGATAGAGATATTTACGTAGCATCAATATATATTAGTCCAAATAAGTCAACTGTACATTGTAATAGAGCATACGACATTTTCGACGTCCTTGAGGACGAAGTAGCACAGTTTCAAAACTTTGGGGAAGTTATAGTCGGTGGGGATCTAAACGCCCGTGTAGGGGACTTAAAAGATCACGTGGTAGACGATGGACTTATGGCCAGCCATGTTCTTCCCGATAATTACGACTTCGACCACCCCCTCCCCCGTAACAATATGGACAGAGGTAAACCCAACACTTTCGGCAAAAATTTAATCGACCTATGCATTAATAGCAAATTAAGAATACTTAACGGCAGAACTCCCGGAGACGCACTAGGTAGACCTACCTGTTACCAGCCTAACGGCACCAGCGTGGTTGACTACGTCCTAGCAAGCGAGTCGACCCTTCTTCGCAAAATCTCGTTTTTCCACGTTCATCCATTGTCCCCCCTTTCTGATCACTGTAAGTTGTCACTAATTCTGCAATGTAGCCCAAAACAGTCACCCGAAAAAACTACTATAACCACCCGTCCTTACCGCAAATTTGTTTGGAGTTCCGACTCAAAACAAAAATTCACAGATATCATAAACAGTGCATATTTTTTCTTCAAACGTCCGTATACGTAAGTTTATGGCAAAGGACTACGAGTCTTCACCAACTTCTCTCGATACCGCGTTAAACGATCTCGTTCTTCCTTTACAAGAAGCCGGTAGAAAATCCTTAACATTACGGAGCACCAAAAAGAGACGATCGTCAGGTAGTAAACAGAATAAAAAGTGGTTTACAGAGAATTGCGCAGCTGCGAGACGAAATCTAAATAATCTCGGCAAGCTACTTTCAAAAAACCCACGAGACCCTTTTATCAGGGGTCAATATTTCAAAACGAAAAAAGAATACACTAGACTAATCCGAAAAACGAAACGAGATCACAAAAATAACATCTTTCAAAAAATAAATTCATTCTCTGTTAATAACCCTTCGGCGTTTTGGAACCAGCTTAAACAATTGAAATCAGACAAAATAACAAAAGAAGAAATTATTGACAGTGAAACCATCCACAGTCATTTTAAAAACTCGTACGGCAGAGAGACAAACTCAGGTGAATCCGAAATGAACAGCAATGTTCACATGCAAATAAGGAAAAATTGATTGAACTAGAAAATGATTTGTCCAACTGCAATCCCCTAGATATAACAATACAGCAAACCGAAGTCAGACAAGCAATTTCCCAACTGAAAAATGGCAAAGCCTCGGGCAGCGATATGATACTAAACGAAATGTTAAAAAGTGCTGCGCACATCCTGACAAAACATCTAACTAAATTATTCAACCTTTTCTTATCTTCCGGCTACTTCCCTGAACAATGGTGCACGAGCCATATTGTCACTCTGCACAAAGGCGGCGCTAAAGACAACTTTAACAACTATAGAGGTATCTCTGTAATGAGTTGTCTAGCAAAGTTATTTACGTCAATCCTTAACAACCGTCTTACTAACTCTCTAGAAGAACATGCACTCATCTCCCCAAATCAAGCAGGATTTAGAAAAAAACTGTGGAACAAACGATAATATCTTTGTAATTGACTCACTAATATCCAAATATGTAAATACTAACAAAAGATTATATGCGTGCTTTGTTGACTTCCAAAAGGCGTTTGACTCCGTGTGGCGCGAAGGTCTAATGTATAAATTACTTAGCTCAGGAATCAGAGGAAAATTCTATAGCCTTATAAAGTCCATGTACGCCAACCCCCAGACTTGCATAAAAACCCCGTCAGGTCTCACGCCATCTTTTATAACCAATAAGGGTGTTAAGCAAGGTTGCAATCTCAGCCCGACACTTTTTAATCTGTTTATAAATGACTTAGTTAAGGAACTAGACAACCCAGAATGTTCTCCACCCACTCTTCACAATTTACTCATATCTAGCTTACTTTATGCAGACGATGTAGTTATTTTCTCCAAAACCGATAAAGGATTGCAGTTTGCGCTAAATAAACTTAACATATTTTGTTCACACTGGAAACTGCAGGTAAATCTAAAAAAGACAAAGGTCGTAGTTTTTAACAGAACTGGACGAGCATTTAAAAATGTAAAATTTATGTTTGGTCCAGAGAAAGTAGAGGCCGTTACTTCATATTGTTATCTGGGTGTGTTGTTATCTGCGTCTGGCAGCTTTTCTTTGGCTAAAAAAGAGTTGTCCCTTAAATCACGCAAAGCCATTTTTGCTATAAAATCCCTCATCCGCTCACCGATTTCTCTAAAGGCTCTTTTAAGAATATTTGATTCATGTATTAAACCTATTATGTTATATGGCTGCGAAATCTGGGGCAAAGAACACTTAATCGATACTAGTCCAATTGAACAAGAAAAACTGGTTATGCCACGTGAAAGAGATACTTGACAATAGCGGTAACTCGTTCATTTGGCAAAATAGCAATCTACATGTAAACAATAGATTTGTATGTGTATCGTTGAGAAAAAGACTAACAGACATGTATATTCAAACCTTCCTCCACAATTTATCTATCAATAGCGGCAAATTAAGATTGTATAGAAAACTAAAATCTGACTATAATATGGAAACCTATCTGCATCACCCTGATTTTGAGCTAAGATCATCTCTATGTAAAATGAGACTAAGCGCTCACACATTAGAGATAGAGAGAGGAAGATATAAGAAACTGCTTGTAAGCGAAAGATTCTGTAAATACTGTACAGAGGGAGCAGTGGAAAATGAAATGCATTTTCTCTGTCAGTGTCCTCATTACGATTTTGAATGAAAAAAGTTATTCAAAGAAGTCGCCAATATTTCCCCACGTTTTTCATATTTCAACCAACAACAAAAGACTATATTATTGCTAAAGTCTCCCAACCCATTTATTTTTCAAACAGTCGGACAATTCATCTCCCACTGCCTCTTGAGAAGAATTCAAACCCCCTAATAGCAAGAATAGTTTAATAGAATAGCATAGAATAGACTAGATTAGAATAGCAGTTATTTTGTTCCTATTACCTGGTCACATGTATATCTACTTTTAACCCTGTATGTATACCAACGTTATTAGGTTTAAGTAGAGATAGTAGGTTCGATAAGTATATCGTACACGTAGAAGTTTATGTTAGCAAATAGTCTTATAAGTTATATCACCACATTTTTCTTGTTAATGTCTGTATGCAATTAGCCCTCGGGCATGAATTTGCAATAAACATCTCATTATTATATTCTCGCCGCAAAAGCGCCACCTTCATTGGCTACATTACTAGATAGAAGCAGAACTCTAGTCAGAAGCAATGAGGAAGATATTTGACAGATATTGAAACGTAAGCGGGTGAGAGACATTGCGGGTTGTGTAAAATAATCTACATATCCTTTATTCTACCAATCTAATGAAATAGTTTCCGGAAATCTAACACTACCCTTTACACTAGGAAGGATTGAGTTGCATGTGGTTGGCTTCAGTCCAGCGGATATCAACGGCGTTTCCGTCCACCTTCACCACTCAATTGCATCATAAGTTGAGAAAAAAAGGAGTTATTCTGCTAAAAACTATGACAGGTACCAAATTACCTATATCCCACTCAAGCATCCAGACTATAGCATGTACCTTACAAAGCCGCTGAATTACCAACAAATAAACATGACCAAATACGCCCTACCTATCATGAAAATACATGTACCATGCCAGAAGTTATAACCGTAAAGAAATCCGGCGCCAACCCATATGTATGGTATATCTAACACACAACCTTCTCGGCGAAGGTAATGATAATAAATCAAACCCGGATGGGGGGGGGGGTAGTTTTATCGTATGTTTTGGATGAATGGCCCAAAAGTCGTGCGAACGTCGCCGATTTGCTAAAAAAAAGGTCGTTATTATGCTAATCAGAAGGTAAGGGTTTATATGTCGCTCTTGTGGTAATATTTGAGTTCAGTCTATCACAGAATTCCTGTTTGTGTTTATTTCTGCCAGTCCACTCTATTACTTTGGTTTTGCTAAAACATTCTGACAGCTAGCTAAAAAAAAAAAATAATTTGTCAAACTATTTCTTTTTTAGGAGGATAGTCTGGTCTTACCCACTGGGTCGTACCCGTAAAAGAGGTACAGGCGTATTGGGAAGCGATCGCCCGAGCCTCTTTTAATGTGATGGCGTCGATTTTATACCCAAAAGACATTTTCAAATCGGGCGACCTTTCGGCGATCAACAACTACGATCGAAGCTTGGAGATACAGGCATACCCAAACGGCTATATAGTATTCAATAGGCAAGACTGTGTCCAGTAGGTCACTTTGTGGTACATTGATTTAAAAAAAAAGATGGGTGGAACTGGTGACCATTGGTACTGTTAATTTAGGTGACCTATTTCTGAGCACTTCTACACGTAAACGTGCTTCCGTTGCTACGTAATTAAGTAGTTATTAGGTCACATAACAGATAGACGCAGAGAAAACCCCCGCTGTAGGTATGTATATCCGCAGTTTAACCTTTAGCACACTGCGCAGCCATTTTGCTAACAAATCTCTAATTTCAGAGGATTAGACAGCAGGGAGAAGGTTGATGCATCTGTCCAAGACAAAATATTCCCGCTATTATTCCA